TATGAGAAATCCCGTACCACTTATTCCCTTTCTTCAAAGTTACGTAGCAGTCCTCTGCTCCGCGCGCATCTTTCGTCTATTGGTGAGCGATGCCGATCATACTTGTACTTGTAATTGGTACCTTCTCCAGGCTTATCATCTTGTTGATGGCTTTCATCACTTTTTCCCTTGTAGTCCCTTTTCCTTGTGCCCTTCTTCTATCATCTCTTCAAAATATGTTCTCATCTCCTCATCGCTGCCCACCTCAGAGTGAAGTATAAGCTGTTCTTCTTCGCTTGCATCTTTTCATCCTCTTCACTGTAAACGTGTACAGTCCAAGAAGCTGTTTTGTTAGATTTCCTACTTGTCTCTTCGATCGTTCTTTTTCCGGTAGAACAGTTCCTCTTGTTTTTCTTGTAGTTTGCTTTGCAGCAGAAGACAGTTCCATTTATAGTTGGTACCTAGCGACACTTTTGATCTAGCCAATCTCTGTCCGAATTGCGCAGGTTCTTTTTCAAATCAGCAGTGGGAGTTGTTGTTCTTTTCAATCCTTAGCCGACCCTGTCGAGCACCTTTTTGAGCTCAACTTCTGTTCTCTGAGCTTTGAGAAATGCGTCCTTTCTGCCTACTCTTGTCTACTTGTGCGTCATGTAGATGAGGGAGTATTGTGTGCGCAACCGCATTGCATTTTCCTTGATTACACCGACTCTATGAAGGAGACGCTGCAGGAGGTGACTTGTTTGCCTGAACCCCCAAACACCCAACACGAATGTTTCTTGTTCTCTGAGATGTGTGCAGTCATCTTGAATTGTCGTGTGTTGGGCTGTCGTTAGGTTCCCTCTAGGGTGAGCGTGAGTTCGTTTCCGAGCATAATTGCTGTTGACTTCGTTATTTCCATGAACAACATTAGATGTGCCAAGTCACCATGACGTTTTGAATAACCATGCTGGAAGAAAATGTGATTGTAGGCTGGTAGAAGCATTCTACGGAAACTAGCTTCTGTCCAGATGAACGTTTCGTTGCATCGGTAGTTCAGTGGTGGAATGCTCGCTTGCCAGGCGGGCGACCCTGCTTCGTTTCCCTGCCGATGCACCAATGCAGAAATGCTGGCCTATACTTGTCTTTGGCACGCGAGTCTTTCAGCTCGTCAGTATATGGATAATTGAAAGCTTTGCTGGCTAAAACGATACAACAAAACGACTTAAAATCAGCTTTTTCATCACTTTATATTATGAAAACGTGTAAATCGAAAATGTGTGTACAAACAACAAATAATCTATAAACAAATCTAAAAAAATGCCTGTGTAAGTGACAATTGATATAAAATCTCAGTCGATCACTTGTCGAGAGACTATCTGTAATGACAGTACAAATACAGTCGTTACAGACCACCGACTGTCAGCAGAA